GGGCCCATCGGCCTAGCTTTCCTGTTTCTGCCCCACTGGGGCCCTCCCCAGCCCCCACCACCGGGGCTGGGCCTTGCAGGACCTCTCCCTTGCAGGGGAGTGCCCCGTCCGTCCGTCCGTCTGCTCGGAGCCCCAGCGGGAGCTCTGCAACCTCCCTCACTAGTGTCTCCCGAGCCTTTCATTTTCATTTCTCGTGGGCTGGCTGCGTCCTGCTGGGCATGTGCCTCTTTTTAATTTCTCTTCCTTTTCTCCTCACACCCCGCCCCTCCTCCTCTCCCTTGCTCTCCCCCTCCCCCTCGATCCTGCCTCTCCTCTTCTCCTCCCACCTCCCTCCTCCAGCGGACCTGTTGGAGATTTAAAGGGTACAGTGCGGCGGCATCGCGGGCCTCGGTCACTAACAGTGGCGGGTGATTATAAGAAGGCTGGGCTGGCATGAGGGGCAGGCAGAAATATCCCGGCTGTGAGGACTCCCCCGACTCCCAGCAGTCCATCTGACACCAGCCCCTCCATCCAAAACCCCCTTCTGCTGAAGCCAAGGAGTCTGGCTGCCAGTTGGCTACTCTCCCGACCTTCTCTCTGACCATGCCTGTTATCCGGGCGAGGGACCCGACCTTTCCAGACACCAGGGATGCACCCCAGAAGCCACTCTGTGTTCATAGTTCCTGCCTCACTCTCCCCAAGGGACTGGCTCTTCCTGCTCCAGAAGTTGGGGTCCTGGTCACTCAGGCCCGAGTCCTGTTTCCTCGGGGCCTCTGGCCCTCTCATCACAGAGGAAGGACCATTTGCAAGCTCAGGGACAGATGAAGGGCCCCTCCCTTCTTGGCCCCAGCCACTAACCCTCCCACCCTGCAGGTGCCCCACCCCTAGTGCTTCTGTGGTCCAGTCTCTGACAGGTACCCCACAGCACCCCGAGTTGAAGAGACAGGCTGGGGAAGGGGCCAGAGGACATGGGCGGGATGGCAGAGAGGAGCCCCCCGTCTCTTCTAATCACCTGCTGCCCCCTGTCCCGTGTGTGTCGTGTGTGGTCAGCCCATTGCTCTTCTCACCGTGTGCCGGGGGTGGGGCTGGGGGAGGGGGCATCTAACTTGCCTGCCAGAGAGTGTGGATTAACCGCACCTGCCACTTCCCGGGCCCTGGGAAGCCCTTGCCAACCTGCTCCCTCTCCAGCCTGGAGATGCAGTGAGGTTACGCTCCCCACAACTGGTTACCCGAGCTTGCCCATGAGGCAGCCGACCTTGGGTCTGGAAGTGGAACCTGTCGAGGCTCTAATCACCAGCCCGCTCTACCCCCCCACTTCATTTCTGCCCCGTCCCCACATGGTCCTTCATCCTTCTTGTGTCCTGGGCGGGGTGAGGGGTGAGTAAGAGTGGCACCCCACTCCCTGCACTGTGTGGTCTCCATCCCTCCAGAGCATCTGTGACTTGCTGTGTCTCACTGTTTGGTTGCCGTGGACTGCATCTGATATTTGGCATCTTCTCTCCAGAGCTTCAGAGTAACAGGAAAGGGAGGGGAAAGGACCCAGGCCCAAAGAAAATCCCCCTTTGACCTCAGTCTTGGGCAAATGGGGGTCTAATAGCTGGCAGCCTAATGTCACTTCCTGCTCCTAAAGGAAGCGGTGATTGACATCATTTTCTGTTCCATCCTAATCCCATAGAAAATGACATCAGAGGCCCATTCACTCCTCGGGCCTGGGGGAACCTCAGGTTTCTGAACTCTCTGGTGTCTGAAGCCTTTGAGGAGAGGGAACTGTGTTCACACGACTCACCCTTCTCTTGCCCAACCCAACTGTCATCTTTCTTTCTGTTTCTCACCGACAGATTCCACCACCTGCAGTTCAGCCAAGTCCAAGGTGAGCACGGGGCGAGTCTGAAGCTTCCCGCAGGCCCTGCCAGCCCACTTCCCTCCTGCT